ATGGCACGGGGAATTTTTCCTCAGTTTCCTGTGAGATATCCAGCGACTTCGAGCTGTTTTCCAGACAGCTCCGTCCATGGTCGGGGAATCCAATGGTATATTTCGATTCCTTGTTCTCCGAGCTTCAATTTGATATATAGGAAGGCAAGGTTTAGTTAAGTTTTTGGGTTGGTCAGAGTTCCGGCTGTCTTTTTCCAGGTTCCGGCAGTTGCAAAGGCAACCGGTCGAATAAGAAGAAGAAGAGGGAAAAAAAAGGGCCTTAAGCCCAAAACCCCGCCCATATTTTTTTGGTCCAAACCTTTGGGCCAATGCCCCAGTTGGCCAATTTCCGAAGTTGGGCTTAGAATATTCTAGGAATATTCTTTGGAATTTTCCTTGTGTTGACTTTTCGTAAATTTCTCGGAAACCCTCGTAGGCTAATTTCGACACACTGAGTCCGTTTTTAACATCCATTTAGTGAAATTTTGAAGTTTTAACATAGTTGACCACTGGGGCGTCTCAGTTGACTTTCCGTTGACTTTTTACGAAAAATTTACCTAGGACCCTCCTTAGCGTATTTCGACATGTTGATTCCGAATCTGTCGTCCATTTCTCCAAATTAAACGTTTTAATTGAGTTTTACTAATGGATCCCAATATTATGCTTAGGTATGATTACTATCGGAAACTCTGGCTTCTCATGTCCGAACGGTTGCGACCTCGCAAGTAACTATGAGTGGGTATTTTCTTTTATATAGCATATATATAATTGTTAGTATCCATTTATACATTTGATAAAGAGTTTTCTACAATATGCCTAGATTAGCGTGACGCTTATAAGATTTAGCACATTGATAAAAATTATGAAGTTATGCTACGTCCTACGGGATGCACAGGTTTGAGTATTATTATTGATGCCATAATTATATTTACGGCTATGAATGATATTATGTTGATTAGAACTATCAAATCACTATGGCATGACTATATTGTGTTATCTGTTCATCGTTTGCTACACCAGTGTTAGTACTCAGCCGGGCCAGGGCCAGTCTTTCACGTGTATGTGCACATCGCACCGTACGTTCACTTTGGATCCATTGTAGGTGTCAGTCATGTCCTAGATTGATATAGGCAATTAGGCTCGTATGTGTTGTGCATAGCGTCAGTCTTCACGTGATTTTAGTACTAGAGCATATCTTATTGTTACACCCAGTCCTGTTCATGTTAGAATATCTCTACATGAACTCGTGTGCCAGCATGTGTCGATGAGCACTCATTATAATATGTTTGCTTATGCGAGATTATACGATTACTGACATTATGCACTTAGTTACAAAATATTGTACCGTATTGAATTCTTGAGATTGTGCACACTACGGTACGTATTTTCTTACTATACGTAGTATGTATATTTTGGAAACTATACTTGTTTTAAGGCGAGGGGTTATTATGTTTTCAAAATGGTTTTACAAAGCTTTATTTTCAGGCCCACTCACCCTTATTTTTTGCCCCTCCAAGTATCAGTGGCAAAGCTTTCGTATCGATGAGGGTTTCTGGAAAACTTTTGTTGTGGGAATTCTACCGACGGTATAATTCTCATCCTACTTTACTGTATTTTACTTATGCTCTAGTTGAATATCAGAGTGCGCAACGAACGAGACTAACAAAATAATAGGAATATTATTAAACTAACTGATAATGCCGGAACAGCTACAAAACCCGAAGAAACTACATTGTGAATAACTTATTAGAAAACCCAAATACTAAAATAAACATAAATACTAATATTTTCCAACAGCTCTAACATCATGTGTGAAAGGAGTTCATTCACACTCACAAGCGCACTCTTATATTTAGGCAGTTTTAGGTTTAAATTTATTCACATTTTTCACATCACTACACTTTATGGTTTCGTCATTTTCTAGGTGTCAGCCAGCAGAACTCGATTCGGAGTCCAGGTGGACATTCCAGGTCGGGGTGTGTCACATTTTAATTTGCAACCTTTTTTTTAAATTGTGCCAAATCTCTAAGCAGATTTAGTTTGTACCCATATATTGATTTGTTTTTGTGTCCATATTTTTCAAACTTTTATTTGTACTCATATTTTTTTGACCTTTTATTTGTACCCATAATTTATTAATAATGTACCCATTTGTCTTTAAAAATGTACCACTTTGTTATATGTAAAATGTACCCATTTTTTTTTTGTAAGTACCATCTCTTTTGTGTAAAATGTACCCATTGTTTTTTTTAATATGAAATGTACCTATTATATAAAACGTATCACCTTTTTTGTACAAAATGTACCCACTTTTTGTATATAAAATGCTTCATGTAAAAAATTACCAATTTTTTGTATGTACAACGCCATTAATATAAGTAATGACAAATCATGGGTTTTATTTAAGTATAATTTTTTTTAATATTTCCAATAAATTATGGATTTTATTTAAAATCTCATTAATATAAATAATTACAAATATCAAATTTTAATTTAAAAATTATAATAACCTACATAGAATTTGCATTAATTTTAGGGATTTCAATAAAAAATCGAAAACTAACAAGGTTTCAATCAAAGAACGTTGATAAATAGGGACTGCATCCAAAGTCACCCTATAATTAATGTGTTTTGCAGATTTGTATATTTGGTAAAGCCTCACACAATCACACCTACAGTTGGAAGATAAAAATATTTCGATGTGTTAAAGCACACTACATGTATTATCAACTCAATAGGACCATCATAACGAACAAATAATAACATTGCAAATTAGAGAAACAAGGGCCAAGCACAAGAGAGAATTCATGACGATGATTCTCAAGGTTACTAGATACATACATGCCATGTATATTATTTAATCTAAAGTCTTCATTAAGATGAGTTCTTTTTTGCCAATTACTGTTCAATCAAGTCAATTAGTATTCATTTGAGAGGATTAAATGGACTTTGAGCCAGCTCATTTTTTATGGGTGGACTTGCTTTTAAGGGTGAGCCACATACACATTTTTACTTTCAACACATCCTTTGTTAATTTATATTATTTGATTATCTCTAATTCATTCGAGTTGACGATAAAAAATTATTATGGATATGTAAAAGATAAAAAACAATGTATGAATAACACTACTCTTATCCAAATTGAGCATTTTATAATGGGTTTTGGAAATTTGGTCAAGGACAGGTGGTGGCAGTATCTATCACCTGCTTTCATGCCGGAATTCTCTGTGCGTTCTGGATACTTGGACCTATCAGCTCTCCACCAGAAAACCATTATTCTTAATTAATTAAGGGTATGATTTGTACACTTTTAATTTCTCCTTAGGCGATTTCTCATTGTATTTGTTCATTAATAATTATATTTTAATTTATTTAGAAAAGTGTTATTAGCACTCTAAAAATCTCATTATACACTCCTCACAAGTGTATTTTTCTTTCCAAATATAGAAAGTTTGGAGTGTAGAATGAGATTTTTGAAGTGCCAATAAGAATTCCCTTTATTTAAGGGTAAATTACACTTTACCCCCTCAGGTTTGGGGTCGATTTCAATTCTTTACAATAACATTTCACTTTCATACCTCATCTATTATTTTATTTCAATATAGTACCTCTGTTACATTTTCATCCATTGATCCGTTAAGAGCTAATGTGGCTGCCACATTTGTACTGATGTGGATGCCAAATTTGTACCACGTGGCAAAAAAAAAAATTATTCATTTAAAATATTATAATAATTTACCTTATTTATTAAAAAGAAAAAAACGCAACCCGGAACCCAACTTCCCCCGACCCACCTCCCTCTCCTCCACCATCTTCACCTCCCTTGCAACCCCTACCCTACCCCCACCTCCCCCGTAACCCCCCACATTCTCCCTCTCCTCCCTCTTCACCTCCCTAACCTTTGTCCCCTCCCTTCACCACCAAAACCTCAACTTCTCCTTCTCCGTCACTTTCCTTGACCGCAAGCCCCTCCTCAAAGTCAAACCAACGACGAACGACAAAGATCGAGAACTCAATTCGAAATCGTGTAAGGCGTGCACGTTGATTTGCTGTCGAGTTGTAGGAAGGTGACGGTTGTCGTGGTGGCGGGTAGGTTGGGGAGTGAGATAGAGAAATGGGTTGTGGCGCGGGTTAGGAGGGAGACCAAGGGTTTGGAAGAGCTGGTGGTAGAAGGTGGTAAGGTCACTGGAAAGTGGCGTCACACATCCAGACGCACTCATGGATCATGGCATCGCAGGGTAGGCAGAGAATGAATCAGGAGGGGGAGATCTTGCAAGAGTCGCAGAGCTTGGAGGAAGGAGAGGGAGGGGATGAAGGTCAGGGAAGATGGGTTGCCGACGAGTTCGCGATGGCGTGGGGGGGGGTTGCGGGGGCATCGGTCGTGGAGAGATAAGGGAGGGAGGGTTGTTTGGGGGTTGCGGGGGAGGTGGGGGTGTTAGGGTTGCATGGAAAGGGAAGGGTTAGAGAAGAAGATAGGTTTTTTTTTTTAATAATAAATAGGGTAAATTATTATAATATTTTAAATGAATAAAAAAATTGTTACGTGGTACAAATGTGGCAGCCACGTCAGCACAAATGTGGCAGTCACGTCAGCTCTTAATGAATCAATTGATGAAAAATGTAACGGAGGTACTATATTGAAATAAAATAATAGGTGGGGTATGAAAGTGAAATGTTTTAAAGATGTTGTAAAAAATTGAAATCGACCCCTAACCTAAGGAGGTAAAATGTAATTTACCTTTTATTTAATCATGGTTAAAAATTGCAGAATGAGAAAATAAAAGTGCAAAACTTATTTGCCTTATTATTGGGAAGGAAATTTGGCAATGTGTTTGAAGAATTGTGATCTCGCCGAGGGAAGGCAATTGAGCAGTAGACTCCGTGGCGGCATTGGTTTTTAAAGACGGAGGCTCGTTCGAGTGAGATTGTATACGTTAGGCTCGTTAGCTGAGGATATAAACATTTCGATTCGAATTTAATATTATTCATTTTTTTGACAAAAACAAAAACAAAAACAAAACTATAGAAAATCTAATATGTCACTTAATATCTCTTCTTTTATATTTTTACAGAATAATGTTGTAAACACAATAAGTCAAGACCGGACTTTAGCATGATACCATCAAACAAACAAAACAACTCAACAAGAAAACTTAGTACTCTAAACAAAAAGTTAAAAATATACATCCAAAAATCTAACCACCACATCCACCGCCACCGCCGCAGCCACCGCCACCGCAGCCACCACCACCAGATACCATATCTCCAATCAACAAACCACCAAGCATTCCCCCTAACAATCCAGCCCCCAGCCCCATCCCAAACTTGTTCTTCTTCTTTGCTTCCGGTTGGGTTTGCTGCACCGCGGGGTACCCATACCCCGGAGGTGGCGGCCCCGGGTACCCATACCCCGGTGGTGGTGGCGGGTAGCCGTATCCCTGTGGTGGTGGCGGGTAGCCGTATCCTGGTGGCGGTGGCGGGTAACCATATCCAGGCGGCGGCGGTTGGTACTCGTATCCAGATGGCGGAGGCCCAGCAGAGGTGCCAACTGGAGGGGTGTATCCACCGTACCCCACCATCGGCTGGACTGACGGTCCAACCGCCGGATAGGCTGTTACCGGCTCGTTACCCTTCGATGGTGCCGCAGTCGCCGCAGCCTGTGGAGCCACCACTTTGTCACCAAATTTGTAGGAAAAATTGAGCTCACCTTTCGGCTTCCCAGAGGGCTTTCTGACTTGGTAAACGACGAACTTCATGGAGGCGGCGTCAGCCTTGACGGAGTCAAAAAGCTCCTTAACGGGGACGACGACCTGGCCGATGTCTTTGTCGCCGAGGCTGCGCTGGCAGACGAGCTTGAAGACGATGAAGAGGCGGTTCTGCTGAGTTAGGTACTCGTCGAGAACGAACTTCGTGTGGAAGTTCCAGGTGGGATGGGTCCCGCATCCCCGGACGACTTTGGTCTTGGTTTTCTGCTGCTTGCCGCCAGAGTCGTCGTCGCCTTGGAGGGAGACGACGGCGTATACGTCCATCTTGGACATGAGGTTGACGTCTTTGATGTCCTTGGCTGAGATGAGTTCGAGCTCCAGGGTCCTCTGCTCCATTTTTTAGAGAGAGAGAGAAGAGAGAGAGAGAGTGTGTTGGGAAATGGGATTTGAATTGGTGAATGGTGATATTTGGAGTTAGTTGGCTTTAAGGTCAAACCTCATTTGTATAATGGAAGTTGGCCATATGGTTTATTTCTGGGAATGTGATGACTTGTAATCACTTGCTTAGAATATAGTTCACGCTTTTGAAAATAAGTATTTTTATTGTATAAATATTATAGTTGAAATCGTTTAATTTTTTAAATTTCATTTGAAAATAAATTTTATGTAAAATTATTTGCATAAAAAATGGGTTAGTCATTAAAATGTATTAAATAATTAGAAGGTTCGTCACAAATATATTTTTTAGTACCACATTGTCAATTTGTTTCATACATTTGAATGCATAAACGATCTTCTTTGATTGATTTTTATTTAAGATAATTTTCAAATTAAATGATTTTGATTATAAAATTTATAAAGTAAAAAGGTATTATTTGCAAGGTATGATACACACACACACACTCATTATCACTTCTCGCATTTTGTTTGAAGGCTTAAGTTTTTTTCTTTTTTTTTTTGTTGGTAAAGTAGCGCTTAAGTTAGAGTTTAGTACTAACTTGCAATTCAAGGACAGTGGCTAACGTTTGTCAAATTTAATTAGGGCTTAGCTAAATGGATGTTTTGATATAGGTGTCTTGTTTTTCAATTTGGTTGACTAAATATCTGTTTCTTTTAAGAATTTGATTAAAAAAAATTACTACAATTTTATTAGAGGTACGTTTGATTACCTATAATATTGGTACATTTTATTTTTTGTTACATTTGGATTTCTAATACATTTTGTTTCTTGGAACATTTAGAATATAAATGTATCAAAAGTCGGTATGTTTATTTTAAAATGTACCATAAGTTTTAAATACATTTTTTTATATAACTATACGTAAAAATTTAACAAACTAATGAATTTTCTTAGGAAAATATTAATCTTTTTTTTTAATGAAGGAAGAGACTAATTAACAGAAATAAAAAGTTACTCTTTTTTAGCGATATTGAAGAACTAATTAAAATAATATTTTTCATTAAAGCCATGAATTTAAAATTGCTAGATTGTAGGAAATTAGATGTTAGCTAGCTTAAGTGGATATATATTAAGAATGAGGATCCTCTTTGCAAGGATCCTGTAGATCCTCAAATCATGTCATCGTACATCGTGTGGTCAATTTTCGTCAGATACTGTTTATTTAATTTTAAATAAAAATATTTAAAATGATTTCTGACCGCACGATGTACAATAAACGAACATGATTTGAGAATTCTCAAGATCTTCACAAAGAGGATCCGGTATATTAAATTAGTAGAAAAGTGTTGAGTTAACAATTGATCAAAGCATCTTAATCAAATTTTGTAAAGTACCAAATGTTTAGTTTAAACAAGTTGAAAAAACTGTAAATTAATTTACTCCTTACTCCTTAGTTAAAATAGCTTGCATGTTCCCGTAACATAGGTATGTCAGTTCAAGTAGGATTAGAATTATATCCTAAAAGGATATCCAAGAATATACTCAAAGGGGTATCGTACGTTAGAAATTATTGTAATTTTTTTATTTAAAATTACATATAAATAATATATGACAAAAACTGACTGTATTATATATGATAAACGGACATGATTGAACGATTTACGAAATTCTCACAAAGAGGATCTAGAGAGTATATAAATCCTTCACATCTGTTTTTGGCTAATTTTGTTTATTAAATTTGTATGAAGTAGCAATAATATAATTCAAAGTATTAGTATAATGACACGAAGACAATGAGTGATGGTTATTGAAAGTAGTGAACAACCCATCACCTAATAGAAATGTTTTGGTTGACTGGTCTTTGTTTTGACTGAGCATCAGAAAAAGACAAATTAGGCCTGACAAACTGTTCATATTTATCATCTTAACATGACATGTGATGTCAAATCTATTATCTTAAGAAGTTCTTAATAGGTGGTCTGATAACGATCTGATTCATTAATGAATTTTTTCGTTTCATGTTAGGTTAATGAGTTATGCCAAAAATTATCATGTCTAATGTCTAGATCTAACAAATGATATCTTGTCGAGTTTTTAATGGGTGATCCAATAACATCCTAACTTATTAATAGATTAATCCAAAGCTTGTTATTTTCGTATCATTTCATATCAAATTAACAAATCGTGCAAAAATTTGTCACGTCTACAAAAAATGAAGGGAGTTATATTCATACATCCCAAATTACTTCTCTCATAACCTTTTAAATTTTTAATATTTTTCTATCAAGTGTTAAGGACGTGTAAAAAATATTAAAAAATTAAAAACGTATTTAAAATGCGTGAATATAATCTCTCAAAATGAAAACTGCAAGTCTTGAAGTCTAGAGCAGATGGGGATGAGAAAAAGAACAAGTCGTTAGAAAAAATGAAAAGGAAGCAGAGCATGTTGCATCCCAAAGTTGAAAACTTGACGCGTCGCTATTAGACTTGGTAATTAGTCGAGAACTCAAGGTCCATCATCCAAAGTTGATTCGTTCTTCCTAGTTGCTTGTAGAACTAACCTTCCAACGTATTAAAGTAAGCCTTTTTTTTTTTCACAAAGGACAAGCAAATTTATTGAATGAGAAAGGCCCAATACAAGTACAATAGACTAGCCCAATAAAATGAGGATAGCCAAAGCCCATTTAGCAAAAAAGTAGACAAAACAAAAACCCAGAGTCAGAACCAGCAAAGGTCGACTGTTGCCGATGCCATCACCTCGCCAGCGACCACAAAGAAAATCGCCCAAAGAAAACCAACTTCGCATTGAATTCGATGAAGGAATCGCACCACAAAACAACCAACAACAAGGAAAAATCTGCAACCAAAATTCGCCACCAAGACCGCCATACCCGAGATGAGCCAACAGATTTGAACCACCAAAACAAGCCCCTGCAAGTAGAACCAAAACAAAAGGGAAGAGGATAAGGTTAAAAGGGCATCTAAAACACCCTCGCTTTGGGCAAAACTGCAGCATGCTTGGCCTCAAGTTTCCAGCATGCCGGTTGGGTACAGAGACGTGAATTGAGGGTTGAGATATGCGGACCAAACCAGGTGCGTCGCTTTTGGCTTTGAACAGAGGTTGTCACGCCCTAATCCCGACATACGTCCATAATCGACACGTGACAGAAGATTGTAGGGAGATACCCGGAAATACAAACTAAAATCAACCATCGATTTGGTTTATCAACGTCAAATATGAAATCATATTTTATGAAATCATCATCAAGTCACTGAAAATCTCGAAGAAGTCACCCAGACATCCAACGGCTCGTCTAAAACAAGTCACAAAAGCTCACAACCATAAATTCATACAACACAATGAAAAGTAGGGTTGGAGTGACACAGTTCGACCAAAGCCTACATCTCTAAAGCTATCTCAATTCGAAGAATCAACAAAGTAATTAATCGAGTTCCAGACCTCTCAACGGAACCATAATACTAAACGGGATTCTGGACCATTCAACGAAATCCAACCAAGATACGATTCTGGACCACTCAACCAAATCGCGGAGTAGAAGGGATTCCAGACCTCTCAATGGAATCCGAGTGGATACGATTCTAGAACTCTCAACGGAATCGCGGAGTACAATGCATATCGAACCACTTAACGAAATCTAAGCTGGATACGATTCTAGACCACTCAACAGAATTGCGGATCACAAGGAATTCCGAACCACTCAACGAAATCCAGATGAAGCAGGGAACTGGACTACTCAACGGAACCCCAGTGAAAACCCAGTTTCGGATCACTCAACGGAACTGAGCGGCATAATGTACAACAGCTCAAATAAACGAGACAAGGCACAAGTTACTAAATTTACAAAAGCTCGACAAAGTGAAACAAGGCACAAATACTAAATTAGAACGAATCAACGAAGCGGGAAATGGAACAATATCGAACAACAAATTCCCATCACAATGGATTAACGGTCCACTACTAACCCTCACATTTCCTCACAACATGCTAATCATACAAATCAAACCATATTTCAAATATACACGTCAAATCTCATTTCATAAACATAAATCGATGGCTAAGTATTAAAAATAACAATTCAATAGAAAATATATTTATAAAACCAAGTCATATCCACACAGGACACGAAAACAGGGTAATCACCAATATCACATATATTAAAGTCAATCACCTGGAGTCCGCACTAACGCACCCTAGCACAATAATTGAGATGTCACCCACTATCGTCCACCTAAAACAAAGTACAAGTCCACATTTAGATTTCCTTCGATAATTCACATACTCAAAAACTCCCATATGTCTCCCACAACAACATTTAATGAGAATCAAACCGTCGTTCAAATGTAGGGTCCATGATTCTACGTCACTTGCTTCGTAAGATCCAACCACTAGATTTTCAATTCATAAGTTCCTAAGGTTCTTAAATATTACGTACTATAATGTAACAAAGTTTGGTAACGATCCAATGGTCGGATCGTTGATTGCTATAATGTTCAAGAAGAGGACCTTAACGGGAAATTTCGCCGGATTCTGCAGATTTTGTAGATTTTCTGGGCAATCTTTAGAACTCCATATCTCACTCGTTTCTCAACCAACTTCGACCCATAATATACCAAAATGAAGCTAGAGAAGTGTAGAACAAGATTATACCTGCTTGAAGTCCAAATGGTGACCGGAGGTAGCCGGAAAATGGCCTGAAAGATGGCTGTCCGCGGGAAAAACTGGTAACTCGCCGAAATTTCTGGGTACACTTTAAACGTCCATAACTTTGTCAATACTCAACGAAATCGAGTCATGCAAAAACTAAAATCATAGCTTGGAATGAGAAGAACAGATTGGTAACCTTCCTGATGGATAAATCACAGTGGTTTGGCCGGAAAATGGTCTGGAAGGTCACGGGTTCGCCGGAAACTGGGGCAAACTTTAAATCGTTATAACTTTCTCATTTTTCAACCAAATCACACAATTCAAACATGAAAATTCATCTACACAACATGAGGAGTCAATTTATACATATTTTGAGCTCAAAAGATGGCTGAAAATTGTCTTAATCACACCTAGAAGTCTCGGCCCAAAACCTTGTTCTTCGAACTCAAGGTTAGGATTCA